ATAATCTTCAAAGCCGTATCACGTATCGCAAAGTTGTAGTGACCGAGAAGGTTCTCTAAAGTATCTGGTCTGAGCGAATCTTCAGTGTCTTGGGTGATATACTGGGTCTTCGGTGGCGTTGGTTTGATCTCAGCTTCGTCTCGGTAATGTTCTAGAATTGTTTTCATGCCGATGAGGAAGCTTATAGTAGCTAGGCCAAGACCAACGGCGGCAAGCCGCTCATCTCTGAGGAAGGATGGGAACCCCATTTTGTATGAGCTATTGAACATCCATATCAATAGCGACCATTCGTAACTTGTAAAAGTATGGGAAAATGATAGCAGTTTGCATTAATTAATGGAAAGGTAGATTGAGCAGTTCCAATGAAGCTAAAGTCTCAATACTTAGGTATTGATGCACCTTATCGATAACTATGACAGCATGGATTATGGATCTTGAATGGGTCTAGGGATCGACGGTTGCTGCATATACAGTGGGGCGATAAGATAAGAGGCCCAGCTGCAACCAAAAAAAAGTCGAACTGAAAACTAAAAACTTATTATCTACAAGACTCAGCGCCTCAGATCCCCCACTAGCACAGCGTACGGTTATCTGCGCCCAGGAGCTTTACGATGGCGGGTTCTCAGCTTAAAAGGCTAAAGGCATCTTTGAGGGAGAAAGGCGTCATTGGCCCTCAATTGTCCAAAAAACAGAAAAAGAAAAATGCGCAGGATGGAAAGGCAAATAACAACCGACGATATCAAAAAGCAGCAGAGCTGGAGAGCATACGAGAAGAGTTCAATCCCTTTGATCTAAAACATAATGCCCGTGGTCCCAAGTTCCAAGTCACTACGAATAGGCCAGCAACTAGCAATGCTGCTAAGGGAAGGCCTAGCGAAGCAAAGTCTCTCGGCGAGGAAAGGGTGAGTTTATATATTGAGCGAGAGGTTGCGCATCTTCCCAATTAACAAGCCCCTATAGCGACGTCAAACTCTTCTTGTTGAACTCAACCGACGCCATAAAGTAGGAGGTATACTCGATCGACGATTTGGAGAGAACGATCCGCATATGGCACCCGAGGAGAAAATGCGAGAAAGATTCGTGAGGGAGAAGCAGATTCACAAGAGTTCCGTTTTTGACCTCGAAGACAACGAAACTAGCGAGGGCTTAACTCATTTTGGTAAATCATTGTCGTTCGATGGTCCTACTTTGGTAGATGACTTTGAGGAAAATGATATCTCGGCCGGATCTGACGTAGCCACCTCGGACGACGAGCATCGTGGCTCGAAGCGTACGCGGCCTTTCAATAGCGAGGCCCAGGATGACAATGTGGAAGAAGGGCAACCGGAAAGGAAGAAGTCAAAACAAGAAGTCATGAAGGAAGTCATCGCAAAGTCGAAATTTTACAAGGCTGAACGACAGGCAACCAAAGACGCCGACGAGGATCTACGAGAAGAACTCAACATGGAGCTCCCAGCCCTTCATGATTTGTTGTTCAACAGAAAAAAGGCGACAGATAACACAATCGCTAACGAAGGAGAATCTGCTGCTTCCGGCAAGGAGAGAATGGAACGTGATTACGACTTGAGACTCCGACAATTAGCACAAGACAGGAGAGCACAGCCGACAGATCGGACCAAAACTGACGAGGAAAGGGCTGAAGAAGAATCAAAGAAGCTTAGAGAGCTCGAAGAGAAGAGACTCAAGAGGATGCGTGGAGAAGAAGTTAGTGATGATGAGGATGAAGAGGACATCGATAATCATCAGTCAGATGATCAACCAACAAACGGCCCAATTTTATTCACAGAAACAGAGGAAGATGACTTTGGGCTAGGGAAAGGGATAAGAACTCGGCCGACGGCGACGGAACTCGGATTCGATGATGAAGACGACTTCATAATCGAAGAGAACTTAATAGCTAATGATTCGGATTTGGAGCCCATCGAAAGTGATGCATTATCCGATGAAGATTCGAATGCTGAGGAGGACGATGATGAATTTACGAAAGGGCTACTGAACGACGAAGAAACCCAAAACCCGGTGTTCAGCGGTCGACTTACGGGCTCTGCAGTACCAACTGATACCAAACAAGATTCAAATGGACTGCCCTACACTTTTCCCTGCCCGCAGACTCTAGAAGAGTTTATCGACTTAACACGGGGGATCTCTATACAACATCTACCAACAGTCGTGCAAAGAATCAGGGCATTATATCACCCAAAATTGGACAGTGGCAATAAACCAAAACTTGCCAACTTTGTGGCGGTCCTCGTTCGGTATTTGGCATATTCATCCAACCAAGCGAAGCTGCCGCCATTTTCTATACTTGAAAGCCTTATTCGACACATTCACTCCTTAACAAAGTCTTTTCCAATTGAGTCGGCAAATGAGTTTCGCTCACAGCTCGAAAACTTTGGCCACTCACGGCCACTTACTCCGAATCTTGGTGACTTGGTGATTCTGACTGCGATCGGAACCACATTTCCTACATCGGATCACTTCCATCAAGTGGCGACCCCAGCTGGGCTGCTTATCGCGCGAAACCTTGAGAGAGTTCCGAAACAAGTTACGGACTATGTTCAAGGTGTATATCTATCCACCTTAGCTCTCCAGTATCAGCAGGTTTCAAAACGCTATGTGCCTGAAGCGATGAACTTCTGCCTCAATACGCTATGTGCTTTAGCACCAGAGAAAGCTGAAGGAACTTTGGGACAATTTCCAGTTCATGATCCTATGTCAGGGATTCGCATCACTGGTGCTCAGTCCCTCACAGTAAGAAAGCTAACCCCCGAGGACTGTATCAAAGATGGCATCTCCGATGAGGAAGCCCTCTCAACCAAGCTTGCAATACTTACCACCACTCTCGGTCTATTAGACGCGGCGGCAGATCTTTACAGTGGAAAGTCCGCTTTCTTCGAGACATTTGAGCCGGCTAAAAATGTTCTCGCTCATCTGGGAAGCAAGTTATGTAAAGCCAGGTTTCCAGCTGTTCTAAATGATCGGATCGAGAAACTCCAATCCAAGTTAGATAGGATGCTCAGGCTAGCTCATATGGCACGACGGCCCTTAGAGCTCCATCACCATCGTCCCCTCCCCATCAAATCAGCCATTCCCAAATTCGAAGACTCGTTCGATCCCAACAAGCACTACGACCCCGATCGCGACAGAGCCGAGCTGTCCAAATTAAGGGCCGAACACAAGAAGGAGCGCAAGGGCGCCATGAGAGAGCTACGGAAGGATGCCAACTTCATGGCTCGCGAACAGCTCAGGGTCAAGAAGGCCAAGGATGCTGCGTACGAGAAGAAGTACAAGAGGCTGGTGGCGGAGATCCAAGGCGAGGAAGGCAGGGAGGCCAACGCGTACGAGAGGGAGAAGCAGATGCGAAAACGGGCAGCAAAGAGATAAGGTGGCGGTTAGCGCTATGGGTTAGGGGTATATTATTAATAGCACTTACAATAAATGTTAAATTTAAATGTTTCCAACTTCCTCGGTTTACGAACGAGGTGTTCAGTAATCAGAAAATAACCCATCGACTAAAATATTAGGTGTTCGAGTTATTCTCGACGCTTACGAGCCATAGTCCCCGATGAAACCTCGTATTACGTGAATCCTTCACGTATCTTAGAAGCTGGGAGTATGCCAAGCCTCGCATAGATTTAAGCACGTCAGCCATTCTGTCTGTCGGACGTTAGGTGTGCATACCTACCTAGGTACCGTTTAATGACCCGTTCTCTCTTCGTACTTAGATACCTAGGCAGCCAGAACGGGATGGTAAAAAGCTTGTTCGAGATCCTTTCGGCAGATCCACTTGATTGCCGCTGATGAGTGATGGGGATTACTATATTGGGTGTTTCGTGGTGTATTGCGGCTCTTGGTTATTATGGGGTATGTGTCTGTTTTATATCAACTACTTGTCTTACCTAGGTAGGTAGGTTGGGTAGTTGGGGAGGATTACTTGAACTTGGCTTGATATTACATACTGTTATGTGTTGTTTATCGTAGCGAAGTTAAACTGTCAGTTGTGCAATTATTCGGCTAGGAATATGTCAAATCTTCCGAGTATACGCAGGCGGCTTTACGCTCTTGAATTTTGGGTTTATCATCTCTCTTGTTTCTATGCTATTCTACCAAGTGAGTAGGTACCTGTTTACCAAACATGCTGGAATTGCACATCTGTTTCTTTAATGTCTATAAGCTTTAATAAATTCGTAATTGCGTATAATGGGGCTGCCCCCTATGACCTTAGAGGCGGTATTTATATCTCATCTTTTCAAAGTACATGTCCCTTTATGGTATATTTTGATAGATTGCTCAGAATCCTGTCTTATTCCTCCATGATATCAAGGCTCTGCCTTAATTTTGATGTGGTGGTCTGCTTGGTTTTCGAGGAGATCCGCGAGGCGAAATACTGTTCTCGATGTTTTTGTTTGATCGGACCGGGTGATATAGTTGGGTTATACAAGACATTTTCGTCCTCGCCTTCGCTCCGATTCATCTCTCGTACCTGTGTAAAGGCATCACATCACCCCCCCTAGTGCCCTAACGCCCGTGTCTGGTCATGTCACACATCTAGAGTTGCCCCCAAGTCTATTGGTAACGTCACACGACCAGGTAGTGACATCACTGTATAGAGTGTACCTCTGCGAGGAAACAGCTCATTTTTCGATATAGCCCAAATATACATCCAGTAAATCGGATCTGCACTATTTGGCTTTTTTCGTTATATAAATATGCTCCCTGAGAGGTTGTGACCAAAGCGTGCCTGTCATTGAAGACGATTTGCTGGCCGTTTCTTTTAGGTACTGTTTATTTATTTGGTGAAAAGCAAATCGGCGTACGTGCGTATAAGAGCAAGGCGAGAACTGATCTACTTGGCAAAGCCCTGGAAGGCGATATAGATCAAAGGGCTTGTTTAGCTCGCCAATGCTGGACATCTCGATAGTACGATCTAGAAGGCCTTGGGTTTTTCATCGACTATAGTAGTCGGTCGGGCCAGTGGTCCTAGTCCGCGTAAAAAGGATCTAGCGGCGACTACTTGGGATAGGTGATCCAGAGACCTGTCGCATGCTTTGGTATTTCCGAAAGTCGGTGTTCACAAATTGTGCTGGTTACTAAGTCAGCATATAGTCTCATTTCCACGAAGTTACGAAAGCAATACGGATTTCTTACCTGTTGATGGAGGTGTAGCTTGACAGGTTGGATACCTGAATTCCACATTTTGATGGTTTGACCTATTCTGTGCTAAGCTCCTTCTCTTCTGTATCATGGCTAGAATTTGCTGTTGTTGGATATGGCTATATCCAGCAAATCTCTCAAGCTCTACTAACACATCATCTTCAAGAGAGGCGACCCATAACTGTCTCTGAGTTTCATCGTTGTTATAAATTGGGTTAGATGAACTCGGAATATTTCGGTGTTGTGCTAATTGGTTATGGCGGTGTTGCGGTGCGAAGTTGTTTGCAACGAGCAAAGGATCTAGCGGAATAGGAGGCACTGAAGGCGTCGAAGGTGCCGACGTGAGAGATTGTATTGTGAACTGGACTGGGTTCCCTAGGGAATTATCCCCAACTTCGGTGGGAATGAAAGAGTGCGCATATTCGTTACTGGCAGGAAACGCATTGTCCGGCTGATTGAACGAACTCATCCAACCCTCATACGCGCCGTGACTGTAGCTTGGGACTGCCGAAGATATGGAGGGACTTGCAGCGGCCCATTGCGCCACGGCGGGCACCTGAAGTGCCCCCGGAACAGGGCTGCCCGAGGCTTGTCTATCTTGAAAGGTCCACGACCCGTTGTATCCATCCGTCTCGTCGGATACTGAACTCATCGAATCTGTTTGAGAATCAGATTTCAATATCTCGTCAAGTAGTGCTAACTTTTGCTTGCGCTTCTCTCCTGAAGCCTGGCGTCAGCGAGATGTCTTGCGACGAAGCTGGCGAACGGTAACTTACGATATGCACGAGACGCGATTCTGTTCTGCTCTTTGCGCACGTCACTGTTTCTCTTCTTAGGTTGTTTTGTTCGGGTAGACGAAGCGAGAGTTGTATTCGTGCTAGCCTTATCCATGGCGCCAGCAAGGTATAACTTGGATGTTGAACAGAGTCGATCTTTTGAGATTGAAGTTCCGAGAAACTCTTTTTGATGTCTAAGCAAGGAAGTGCGGGAACGAAGAGAGTCATTATATAACATGGAGTTAGGAGATATATGTCTTGTTAGCTAAGTAGACGTGGGATACGAACAGCCCTATCACGATTAATCTCTTTGAGGCGGTACCAATGTAAGAATATATCGATTTCCCAAACCCGTCTTGATTCCACCGCTAAGTGGCTTCTCTCTTTAGGGTAACCATGTACCTTTTCTTAGAGGCGAAAGCTTTGATGTGGACCGCTGTCCAGAATTCGGATTTTACATATGAATAACTACCAGACATGACAAGCATTAGGTATGTACATACATACATACATACATACATACATAGAACGCTACCAGTAATCTTGCTGTCATCTTGCTGGTCCGATGCGACTCCATCGCGTAACCTGATTGGCAAGAAGCCAACGAGTATCATATGCTTTCATATGTTTAGTTAATGGTTAACTTCGAAAAAGTCCCCCCTTCTCGACAACACGCGAGGCTGAAAATAGAACATACCCCGAGATCTTCAAGGGTCAGGGTCTACTACGAGCCCTATAATTGGCTACCCTTAGTCATCGTGTTACCAAGCATTGACTATCTATGTAACCCAGGTAGTTTCTAGGGTTCCCGCTAATAGAACATAAGCATAGAATTTTTGAGAAGCCTAATTCGGTACCTAGCCATCGCTCACCTCAGCACCTACTTATGCATTGTGTACATCTTTAATGATTGATTAGTATAGAATGTCTCATGTGGTCGGGCTTTCCTTACAATGCTCACTACTATGTATCAAAGGGCAATATCGATCATCGCAGCGTCCTGCCTTGTAGGGCTCGTGGTAATTATACTGAAACTTTTCAGCTTGAACGACAACAGCAACGGCAACGGCAACGGCAACGGCAAAGGTAACACTTTAGGGAATTCATGTTCCTAATACATAGCTTCACAATAGCATTCATTAGTTACACATTTATTAGATACTAATAAATGACTATCGAGAGATATAGTATAAATAGAAAGACCATACTAAAATTAGCATTCCACTTTAGCTACATATAGACAAGTGAATGATAAGGTTATATGCGTACCTATGTATGTAGGTATGCAACTAGTTCAAAACTTACACGCTTCTAAACCTTTACCGCCTTCAGTACCTACCTACCTAGTTTAAAAGAGAAATTCTTCTAATTACCTAATATAGTTACTCTTGTCACATGTGCATGTGATAAAATAGTAATCCCGTGAGCTTTGACCTTGGGCACAGTACATTATCGAGCAAATATAGCCAGTAGCTACCTAAACTTAATGAAGCAAGTGTTTAGGTGTTGTTTTTGTCTAGGTATTGTTTAACGGACCAATCGTTGGGCAACGGGAGCTGAGGACGGGAATGTACCTAAGTTCCAGGCGGTCAGGGTTTATTGTCCCACTTAAACCCGCCCGCACAAGCCCGCTAGGATTCATCAGCTCGCAGCCCTACCATTCTATTCCTGCCGTGCGCCATCCGTCACAACTGCTAGTGGCTAGGTTAAGCTCTTTGAGATGACGACATGCGCCGCATCTATTTGAATTCTAATTGTTCTACTTGAGCATCGTAGAAATCGAAATTCTAAAGAGAATGAGCAATATTTAAGCTGATAGTTAGATTCCATCCAATTAGGTATTAGCCAAACTTCTTAGGGCATTTCATACATACGTCTCTAGTTACTGTAACTTTATACCTGCAGTAGCAGCAGCAGCGGTAGTGGTAGGAGTTGTTCTTTGCATATACTTCCCTTTTGTATGATTGGACAAGAGTATACGAACAGAAAGCTTATGGGTTTTGATCTAGATGTAAGGAGAATTTGCTCCTGTTTGCCTGTCTAGGTACTTAATGGAATATTATGTACCCAAACAGGTATCGTGGGCAACCTCCATATAGTCGATTCAGCTGACTCGGTTGCGGACCACGTAATTTTAGTAGGGCTAGGAGACAGACTTAATATCTTACTACATGAGTATTTCCCGTTACATTTCCACCAATGAAGCAAGCCGAACTGAATAGACAGTACAAATTTACTCGGCATACGTCAGAGCCTTCTCGGTGTCTGACCTACCCTGTCAAATGTGCATGGGAGAATAGTGTAATCATTCTAGAGTACATATGTATACCTAATATAGGTATATATATGCGGATGCCAGCCAAGTTATTTCCCCCCTTTCTACAAAAGAGCCTACGTGTTACGGTTGGGTCTTATGATCTGTAATTCGATAACTAGACGAAAAGGCCGCTAATCTTCTCGATAGCACGATTACATCGGACGGTAGAATTACACGGGAGAGTGTTACAGCTACGGTGACAACACTTTCGTCTTACCTCTTCGAACCGCGACGAAGTCGAAGCGATAAATTTTGATGACACTACGTACGGATGGTAGACGCGGGTGAAGAGAATTGCCTTACTTGAAGAGCCAATCAATATTGATTAGTATTCACTTAGGCCTCGGTGGATATACATATAGAGCCTAAGCTGCCTAATGGTATGTAATAAGGCTATGGAAAGATGATGCCCTGGAGGAATCTGCCACAAAGATGCCGAGGTCGGTCCTGTGGTCTGTTCCGCCCTTGTCAGCCTAAGTTCTGACATCACCCAACGATCTAGGTACGTAGTACATATATACTCGTTTGGATAGTCGTCAGATGGTCAAACATATTCGGGTTATAGAAGTATAACGCGATAGCTATGTATTGAGCTTCTTCATAGAATGTCATATCGATCTGGTTACGAAAACAAAGCCAGTGGGGTTTCAGGTTTTAGCTAGTTAGGTTAAGGAATTTTAACTTCGAGAAACCTTAGCCTAGTAGCCTAGCGTTCTTGGTACTTCGTACACTAAGTCCAGTGCTATGGAGTCCGTGTAACCCCCTCCACATTGCATGCAGCACAATCCAAATTGAATGCCGAAAAGAGCAAAGGGGTGGATCCGAGGTGAGGTAGCCCAAAGTATATTTGAGGCTGAGTTATAACAGATCTCACCTAAATCGCATAAGTAACTTCTCGCTCCAGCCTCAACACTACTAGATAGTACTTTGAGTCGAAGCCACGATTCTATCGGATTCTACGAAGAAACGGTGGCGCGCTAAGGAAAAATCTCAGCCTCGAACTGCGCAAAAGTTGAGGTTAGGACTGCAGAGGGGAGAGATGGAGATAAAAAGAATATCCTTTAAAGTTGCTTGCTAATCGGTAGTGAATTTTGTGGTCACCTCCAAATCTTCCATCGCGGTGTCTCTTTTACATACTCTTCTGTTTCCATCCTCATATGTACCTAACTTTAAGCACCTAAAGCAGGTTTTTTTTTTGGTTACAGTACATTAGGACATTCAATACCTTAGGACATTACATACCTACATACCTAGGTTAGGTTAGGTACGGAAACAGAGCCTTCTCGAATCGGAGCGGCAGCCTACTTTCAGCAGGAACGCAACCAGAACCTTCCAGCAACTCCGACCCAGGTACCTACACCCAAAGCAATCTACTAATCCACCAATCCTGTGCACCACAAGTACACCATAACCTGTCAATCCTGTCAATCTTGTCAATCCGTACCGAAACAAACCCATACACGAATACGTTCACCAATCCATCTATCAACTCATTTACTCCCGCTTCTTTCTTTCGCTTCTCGTACTTTGTAAGTCCTCAAGTCCTTAGTCCTTGATCCTTGGTCCTTATCAACTTCGAATCGCCTAGATATTTCCTCTCTTATCATATCTCACCCCTCTATTCAAAACCTCGCAACCAACTGATTCGCGCATTTGTGGGGCGCTATCTGGCTGCTTTTACCTCTTCACATCTTTACAAATAATACAAGACTTGCTTTTTGACCTTTGAATACCTATCTTCAAACCGAACTGCAAAGTCGCATTTTGAACTAACATTATTTGATACTTGAGAGATCCTACCTAATTAGAACGGTTATCTTCTACTTGCGGAGCTTCCCCTCAAGAATCCTCCCGTCTGACCTTCAATTCAGACGACAATATGGTCAAGGAGACAAAGTTCTACGATGCGCTTGGCGTAAGTCTTACTCCTTGGTGCACGATATATAATTGGCATTGAGAGAACATGTACTGATCTCCTTTGTCTAGGTCTCGCCAACCGCAACAGAGGCAGAATTAAAGAAGGCATACAAGACAGGAGCCCTGAAATGGCACCCTGGTAGGTTTTAATTAAGACGCATTAGACATCTTATGAATCCAGCATGTTAATCCTAGTTTTATAGATAAGAATGCCCACAACCCCGGGGCCGAGGAAAAGTTCAAGGAAATCTCACACGCCTACGAAATCCTATCCGACCCTCAGAAGCGTCAAATCTACGACCAATATGGTGAAGCCGGTCTCGAGGGAGGTGCTGGAGGCGGCGGCATGGCCGCCGAGGATCTCTTCGCGCAGTTCTTCGGCTCGGGCTCATTCGGCGGTGGTCTTGGCGGCATGTTCAGCGGCATGGGTGGCGGACCCCGTGGTCCGCCTAAGGCGCGCACTATCCACCACACACACAAAGTATCCCTAGAAGACATTTACCGGGGTAAGATCTCTAAGCTAGCCTTACAGCGGTCCGTCATTTGCCCCAAGTGCGAGGGTCGCGGTGGTAAGGAAGGTGCTGTTCGACGTTGCCCTGGCTGTGATGGTCACGGTATGAAGACTATGATGCGACAAATGGGTCCGATGATCCAACGCTTCCAAACTGTCTGTCCCGATTGCAATGGAGAGGGCGAGATTATTAAGGAGAAGGACCGCTGTAAGTCATGCAATGGCAAGAAGACCACCGTCGACAGGAAAGTACTTCACGTTCACGTCGACCGTGGTGTTAGAAGCGGCACGAAAGTCGAGTTCAAGGGTGAAGGTGACCAAGCCCCTGGTGTCCAGGCTGGAGATGTCGTCTTCGAGATTGAACAGAAGCCACACCCCCGGTTCACTCGGAAGGAAGACGATCTACTCTACCGTGCTGAGATCGAGCTCGTTACAGCCCTAGCTGGTGGTCCGATCTTCATCGAACATCTGGACGACAGATGGCTGAGTGTCGAGATCCAACCCGGCGAGGCCATTGCACAAGGTATGTATATACTTGATATTACTTTTGTTCATCCGAACCCGGCACTAATCAATTTTTGCAGATGCTGTCAAGATGTTAAGAGGACAGGGCATGCCTTCTCACAGGCATCACGATTACGGCAACATGTACATACAATTCTCCGTCAAGTTCCCCGAACGTAACTGGACAGATGACCCTGCTGCCTTCGAAGGTCTGCGCAAAATTCTTCCCGCTCCCACTCTCCTGAATATTCCTCCCGGGGACGCTATGACAGACAGCGTGGAACTAGAAGATTTGGACAACCAAGGACAGGCCCGAGCATTCGGTGGCGGTGCAGGAGGTATGGACGAGGATGATGAAGACGGTCACCCTCACGCCGAACGTGTGCAATGCGCATCCCAATAGACGGTATATCTAACGGGGGAGATTATTAGTTCGGTAGTGGGGTAGGTGCTGCACAGTATTTCGTGCCTCGCATAATTTGCCTATACTCCTACACCATCGGGGATTCCTTTCCGGTTAGGTTAGTAGAGAGGGAGAGCTTATTTACGGCGTAGCGTTTCTGTGGTTTGAGGACACGAATGATTTGCATGTCAGGGGCAAGCGCGGAAGGAGAGGAGTCTGCTATACGAATGATATGAACAAGGGTCCGCTATTCTGGTAGGAGGGCAAGGTTCACTTTTTTCTCTGCAGCTCTCCTTTTATTATTATCATCGATTACACCGAGCATCATTCCGCACGTGATGCTCTTGCGAAATTGGCGTTCGACGGACATAGAGAGGAATCAGGACAGACGTGCTTTATACATGATTGCAATACCGGTATTGATTTCATTGGAAACAATCATGTCCAAACTACAGTAACGTAACGGCGTTTGTGACCTTTGCTAACGTGTCTTACTGACTTGAGCAATATGATTTGTTACGACTTAACAGTTGTATTATTTCATACTTACCTAGAGAAGTTGTAAATATTTAACGTACAGGTCTAGTAGAGTTAAGGTGCAACAGAGTCTCCTTCAACATCGTCCGTAAACTCGGTCTTCCGCAGGTGTTCGACCGTATATAGAATAGTCTCCAACTCCTTCCGCGAAACATCTAGATTTCCCTCGGCGATATCCTGAATGCCCCCTTTCCGAGCCCAGTTTTCTGTCTGGTCTCGCTCGAAGAGCAGGAGAGAGCGGGTTAGTTCTGTCATGGGGGTATCTTCCCCTGCTTGTGCCGTGCCGTTGTTAGTAGTTGGCTGCTGGGGATCAGTTGCGACCACTAATTTAGGAGAGCTTTCTGGTCTGGTGATGACGAGAGCATTTAGGGGGTTGTCTTGTAAACGCAACGTCTGTACGTGGTTGAGGGTATTGTCTGGTAGGACTTGGAATATGAAGATTGCCGGGACACTGTTATGGCGTGTTAGATTCTGCGGATGATAGACAAGGCTGAGGTGTGGGGGGGGGATTAATGAAAATGGGAGAGGGCAGAGGGAAGGTGGTTTTACCGTTCGCAAATCGCTAACACAAAGCATCTCTCGTCCACATCGTACGAAAGTAACTGCGATACGGCGACTTGGACCGCGCCGGGCGCTATCTCCTTAACGTGGCGAAGGAGGTCCGTCTTGCCGAGGAGCTGGGCAGCCTTCCAGTTCCACACGAACAGGTGGTCGTCGCCGCCGGCGGAGACCAGGACTCCCGGGCGAGAGGCAGGTACGCAGAGGGCGCTGAGGAAAGCCTGGTGGCCGAGGCAGTAACTCTCGACGACGTGGGCGTGGGGGATGCCGCGCGAGACGCGGATGTGCTCGTCGCGGTCGGCCGTGATGATGTAGGGCTTGCCGTCTGGGCTTGCCGCCAGGGCCAGGGCCGTCAGCATCGAGACGTGGCCTAGGATGGGCTCGTGCTTGGACGGCGGGGCGTCTTGTTGGGCGGGCGCGCTCTTGCGGCTGGCTAGGATGCGCTCTTGTTCTTGTAGGGCGCGCAGGTTGCGCTGGGAGTGCACGGTTAGCCGGTTAGCTGCGGGCTTGAAAGATGAAGCCGGGGCGGGCGCGCCGGGGGGCGTGCTGGTTGGTTCCGGGGGTGTGGCGGCTGGGATGAGAGGTAGCGAGTAGACGTCTCCGAATTTGTCTGCGGATAGGATTGTAGTCCCGTCCGGGGTGATGGCGATGGAGCTGGGACGCTTGGGCATGACTCTGAATCTAGTGAGACTCGTTTCCTAGAATAATTAGATAGGATTATCCTACCTTTGACTTATTTCCTTAAGCTCGCCCTTCCCATCGTGCTCGAATACCCAAAGCGTCTTATCTTGGCCAGTCACGGCGACGAGATGTCTCCCATCTTCCGTTGCCGTCATGAGAGCCACAAAGGGTATTTCCGGCCCCTGAACACGAGACTCGGGCTTGTGTTTCTTTTTTCCATTGCCATTTGCTGCTGCTTCCACTGCACCCGTGTCAGCTTGACTAGTACCCTCCTCAGCGCTGGGCTTATTTTCTCCATTCAGCTTGCGCTTTTTCGATGGGCGCTGACCACTCTCTTGCTCATTGAGTTCTTGACCTTCCTGACCAGTCTCCTGAGGTTCGCCATTACTGAATTGTTTTGTGAGTGGATGAGTCCATGACGAGAGAAATGAGTTGCCGGCCTCGAGGTCGAATGTGTGGATGCTGGCTCCCTTGGCAGCGCAAAGGATGGAGCTTTGTCCAAGTCTGCTCAGATATTGGTACGGCAGATTCATGGTGTTGTGAGTTGATGCGATCAAATTGCTGATACCATGCGCTCCCAACAAAGTCTTCTTAGAGTTTTATTTGATTATTCCTTGGATCAGGTCTTAAGTAAACTTATTTACCTGATTGGAAGTTAGTTCGTAGTTCTCGCTGACTTTAGATTGAGCTTCAAGAGGTATCTTAAGTTGAAAATTCCGATATGCACGGTTTATTGCACAATTGAAGTGAAGCTCTAAATTCAGTGGGCACTATGCATCTATACAGATGATTGCTATGTATCAGATGTACATACGGGTTGGTCCGTGTACGATGTACCTCATATTTGCGTTCCCTCGATTGGTGTTTCAGCCTCTATTTGTGGCGCAGTTTATGCAGTTTATGCAGTTTATGCTAGGTTAGGTCCATACCTAGGTACTTAGCGTTGCGCAAGTTCCGGAGTGGGCAACGCTTTACGTACCATCTTATCCGTTGTCTTACACATCTCACGATAGCTCTGAAGACAGTTCAACATTAATTAGTTACATATTTGACAACCTTGACAACCTTGACAACCTACTTATTATAAGTGAAATTATTGACAATCACAATTCACCTATCTAGGTCTCCATTATCCTATTCTCTCCCCACCACTATTATTAATTCCATTGGGTTAAGGATTTCCGACGGACTTATCACACGGACATTAACGATCTCGAGCGTAGTAGAGTCTATGCAAAGAACCGCCTAATCTGGTTGATACGCTCGCGGAAACTATACATTTCCATTCTCGCCCGTCATGGCGCAGCTTCTCCTTGACTTTGTATACTCGTTCGGCAATTGTTTAAATTGCTTCCCCGGATCGCCAACCCTCAAGATTAATAGCCGTTCGTTTAAGATACTACGCTTGCTAGGAGAAGGAGGCTTTAGTTATGTATATCTCGTACAAGACACGGCAACTGCCGAGCTCTTCGCGCTCAAGAAGATCCGATGTCCATTCGGCGCCGAATCAGTCCAGCAAGCGATGCGAGAAGTCGAAGCATACAAGACGTTCTCCCACACCCCCAGTATCATCCACAGCGTCGACTATTCCATCGCAAGCGAACGAAACGATGCAGACGCAAAGACGGTATACGTATTATTGCCGTATTATAGACGAGGCAACTTACAAGATATTATCAATGCGAACCTAGTAAACCACACCAAATTTCCCGAACATGAACTTATGCGCCTCTTCCTGGGCATATGCAAAGCTCTCAAGTACATGCATCAATACCGAGGCCCAGCAGGTGGGGAGCGCATGGAGGCTAGCAATGCAAAAGCTGGCGAAGAAGAAGGGGGGAGAAGCGGTAAGGGAAGACGAAACAAGGCCGTCGCGGCAGCAGATGTGGACGACGAGACAGAACAAGCAAAACCTTTAATGGTAGACGAACAAGTCGCAGCGCCTGGTGAGCGGAGATCTTACGCGCATAGAGATATCAAGCCAGGTAAACCACACTAAAGTCTAATGTTGCACCGAAATTTATACTAACTGGGCATTGAAGGTAACATCATGATTGATGACTCGGGCTCGCAACCTATTATTATGGATCTGGGCTCTATCTCGGAATCACCAATACCCATCACATCGCGCTCGCTCGCTATTGCTCAACAGGACATAGCCGCGGAGCATAGCACGATGCCTTACCGGGCGCCTGAACTCTTCGATGTGAAGACAGGGACGGTCATTGACACCAAGGTTGATATTTGGTCCCTAGGCTGTACCTTGTATGCATGTTTAGTTGGCAAATCACCCTTTGAGATGCGTAGCGACGAGACAGGTGGTAGTCTTAGCATGTGTGTGCTAGGGGGAGATTGGCGATTCCCAGATGAGAGGCCAAGAGGCCAGAAGAAAGGAAAGGCGCCGGCTGGTGCAGGCACAGAGGAGGGGGCTATCAGCGAACCGATCAAAGAGGTGGTGAGGAAATGTCTAAAGGTTGAGCCGAGCGAACGGCCGGATATCGAAGAGTTAATACATATAGTGGAGGAGGTTATTGACGAGCTACCTGAGGATGACGCATAGATGATGAGGTTTGGGAAGAGCTATTTTTGCTTGTGTATATTGTATACTATAACCTTCTGTGTAGGCGACTAGGGACAGGTCATGACTTTTGAGGTACCCATGACACTTACGGTACTGCTCTGAGAGCGAACAGGTTACGCGGGTATACCCTCGACTTTAAAACTTTTGCTTGGCTGGATTCTGGAGGTTGAGGGCTGGGTTGATCTTCAGCCCCGAGCTTATAAGAGAAAATTATACGGCGTCTGTTGCTTTGATGTTGTTGGTGCTTTGAGCTGACCTACCGTTTTTAAGTCTAGCCTCTCATCGAAGAGTAACTTTAAAGATGAAGGCAAATCATAGCAAAGGTCTTAGCGCTGTTGCTTTGGATATAAATACCAGGTGTAAATACCAGGTGCCGAGATCATTCCATATCGACATGAGCTTCCCTTCCCCTATTGCTACCAACCCTTTTGTGACTGAATGTCTGGCCTATATCACGCCCAACAAAATGGAGTCATTAGCTAACTGCACCTGCGTGCTTCTTACCGCAACGACGCCTATACTCGGTTTCGAGATTTTCACGCCAGAATTCCTCGGCACATTCGCAGTGATCTTCCCCTTGGCCGCATACCCCTTCATGTTCTCAGACCGGAACCGAACCTGCCAAAACGTCCTTGGCTTAACGGCAATGTTCGCCTTAATCATACAAATAGCCAACAACTATGCCTGGGCTATGGGCTACGAGTATGCCGAGTTCTCGCCTTGGCTGCTCCCCTTGACCATCTTCTCCGCGTTCGTCAGCCTCTGGGACGCGGACGGACACGAGTCGGATGTCAACTGGCAACCGGTGCCTTTTGTCGACCCCGAGGCCAAATATGTCATGCTGACATTCTACATGTTCCTGTCTCACGTCTTCACAGGCGTCATTTCTCGCTTGGAACCAGCAACCTCGACGGACGACGCGCTCTATCTCATGGGCTTAGCATTTGTCGGTTTCAGGTTCGCTCATGACATCTGTAACGACTTCATGAGGACGACCGCCACGATATACCATCGCCTCGCAACACGGCGCGTTCCGGGCTGGTTTTGGATCCATGCTGACGAGCCTGGATTGTTCAGGCCTAGATGGAGCGTCGTACTTACGGTGGTTGTGGCCATGTCCGCGCCGGTACTGGCGTTTTTATGGGCGTACAGCATGGGGTATATCGTGTCGATAAGTCAGATTCCTGACGCCTCTACTGGCTTTGTGCCCAATTCCAAATTATCGCAATGCTATTGTACGTGGAATAGCCTCCGTGGGGATGGCGAGTATGGCGAGTATGTCCTATAGGAGGGAAAAGATAGGTAGACTTGGGTTGCTGGCCGAAGGAATACATGTACCTAGAAACTTAGGTACTTAGGTACTTAGGCAATATGTGATGTGTGGCGGTGGTGGCTTATATGTATATCTTCAAAGTTCCAATTCATTGGTTGGTGTTGCCTTCTTAATGAACCACCACTTACCAAGTGACGATAGACAAGTGAAAATAGGCTCCGCTTTTAAGTTTATTTTACTCTTAGCTATCTCCATGTATTCAGGAACTCTATTCTTATCTAAGCACGCATTTGGTTATTTCTAGAATGGTTCGGTACATGTGCTTTGTACCTCACAGCTTATACCTACATGTACCTAAGTCTTCTAGGTTAACTCCTAAAAATAACCGGCCTGCACTTATATAAAATATAAGCTGTTAAAATGGCATCACCAACCAATAATATCCTGGGGGCAGAGGAGGAAGATGATGACTACATGAACATGACCTTCGGCGAGGAAGAACCTAAAACTACAGAAACATCTCTCCAGCGGCGGCAACGGCTCAAGCGCGAGGGTGAGATCAAGGGGCGCGTCAAGTCAAAAGCTGAGCAGGCCGCAGCAGAGCGCGAGGAGCGTGAGAAGGCGTTGAACGAGTCGTTACTAGACAGTGCCCGAGCTAAGAAAAGCAAGGGCTTTGCCATGATGGCGAAAATGGGATTCAAGCCTGGCGTCGCACTTGGCAGCGCGGACAGCGCCGAACACGCGCGTCTGGAGCCCATACGTCCCCAGGTGAAGGAAGATCGAGGCGGTATTGGCCTCGACTCGGATCGCAAGCGTGCGCTTAACGAAGCGGCGGCCCATAGCGAGAAGAGGCAGAAGGTCGATGAGACCGAGTTCCGAGACCGCGTGCGTAGGGAACGCGAGCAGGCGAGACTAGAGCGACAAGTTTATGCCGCGATGAAGGTGTGCGAACGCATGGATGAGGAAGAGCAAGGTGTCACGAAGACGTACGGCGAAGAGACAGAGGAGACAACGACAAAGACGCAAAAGAAAAAGAAGAGAACGATATCTACGCGACCGCTAAAATCTATCCCAGTAGTATGGCGAGGCCTAATCCGGAACCGGGAAGAAGCAGAGCGGGTCCGGCGAATGCGGCATGACCTAGAGCAGAGCTCAACGCGGCTCCCGACGTTCGTGGAAGATCTGGAAGATGACGATAAGACGGCGCTAGGAAAGACGGCTACGGCGTATGTCCAGGTCGAGGATCTCGAGGAGGAGGATCCGGAACTAGATGAATTCAATGCGCTGGAGGTTGAGGAGAGATTAAAGAGGCTGGTGGAGTACCTCAGGAAGCAATATAATTACTGCCTCTGGTGTAAATGCGGTTATCCGGACGAGACGATGGAGGGGTGTCCCGGGCTGACGGAGGAGGATCATGATTGAGGAATGCTATCTCGCCGTCCTACTTCAAACTATCCTATGTCTGGCCAAAATATTGTCCAAGTCGCAGTTGAACTTACGACATGGGCCTATATGTAAGGCGTCGGGGGAAATCATATACAGGATGAGGACACTGGGATTCCAAGGCCGACAATTCCTTAGGCCCAGGGCAGTTGATGTTCCAAGTGAGTTTTTATGATAATTGTAAACTGATTAAATAAACCTGGAACTCACAACCTTACATAGTATCTCTACTACACCCCGGCTATTAATACATATCATCCGAAGACCGCGGTCGAGAGGGCGTATAACTTATACACGAGGTATCACGATACCAAAAAAAAGGTCAATAGTTGCTCCACGGCAAGACCGGGACTTGGAAACAGGAATGGGATGTTCTAAAGTAGTGACCATCAGATAGTCTTTTCTTAAATCATGACCGGCACAACTTTCCCCCTACAGCTACATCACATCCTGTCGTTATGCGTATGTCAGATATGTATTGACAACCGAGGTCCCCAGCTATTAGATATATCCCCTCCGCGTAATCTCCGAACTAGCACAAAGCCCTGCCATGTATAATGGCCGGGCTGTCGATGTACCTAGCGGACAATCTAGCACAGACAGTCCAGCCCCTACGTCTCCGGGCGCTCCGTAACGCCCTCCCGGGAATAAACCCTTTCCTCGACACCGATGTCCTCGTTCCTATGTTGCATATATTAGGCTCGTGGTATTCATATTCCATTTTTATGCCTATGCACACGTGCACAAATGAATGGGGATGGGGAATGGGTGACGTTACCAAACCTCGGGCTTCTCCTTAATGAACCTATCCATCAGCTCCCTGCACTCCGACGAGTCCAGCACCACAACCTCCACACCGCGGCTCTCGAGGTACGCCTCGCCGCCCAGGAACGTCCTATTCTCGCCGACGACCACACGCGAGATGCCGTAGAGGATGCACGCGCCCGTGCCTACCACGCCAACCAACCCGTTCTTAGCGGCAAGTTTCGCATGGTTGTAAATGGGGAATCAAGCGCCAGGTAGGTTAGGCTAGACTAGACTAGACTAGACAGACTTACACATATCGCACGGCGAGAGCGTCGTGTACATCGTGCTCCCCTTGTACGCCGACGACGGCAGACGGCCTGCGTTTTGGAGACAGGACGTCTCGCCCTGGAAACGAAAAAACACATATCAGTAATAATAAATAATAATAATAATAATAATAATAATAATAATAATAACAATAATGATGATAAACACCAAATATAAAAAACATAGGCACGTACGTGAAGAATCGGATTCCCATTCTGAACCCTCATATTATGTCCCCGGCCCAGGACTCTGCCATCAGCAGCAACTAGCGCCGCACCGATCTACCATCTCGTAACAATGTCCAAAGTAAGCAGAGCGTTCGCCTTTCGAGCCAAAATATCACGCCCTACATACCGGGACGCCGCCTTCTCGGTATCCGATCCTAGCCTCTTCGAGGGCCAAGGCAAGGCCCTTTACGTCGTCCATTTTAACTTGGCGGTATTCTGTCTAAGTAGCAGCTATAATGTTATGATGTTATACTGTTATGATGGACCGGGAAGGACTATTCTTAACTTATAGAAATAGGGAATTAATGTCTTTTTTTATTAGATATATCAGTTAACCTAGAATTATCAGTTAGAAGCTTGATATACGTAATTGGAGATAAGCGGGAATCTCCGCCTCACGATTATCGCTGCGCATCTAACCTAGTGGAGCTACATACGAGTCTAGTACCCGCCTTTTAGCTATCACTGTTCTCAAATATCGACTTCTTAATATACATAACGTAGCAGCACACACGTATAATCCACACGGGCAATACGTTCGCATATAAAACTGGCAAAATTAGAACTTGGACGTCTTTAAATTATGTTTGTACGATATTGGTCTGCGAGACCGTTTCCTGATCTTTTGGATCACCCGCCTCTAATTCCTAGGCCGCCTTCCTCCATTTTACACTCGGAAAAGTATTAGACAACTAATAGTCCGACCATCGAAAAACAAGCAATTGTTGTACAGGCAGGCCTTCAAAAGGGACGGCAATGCTTCCTCTTCTCGAAATTCTGGCCGGAATCTCTCTATCAACCGTGGCGCCTTTGGTATATGCCTCTACTTGTACAACCAACCCTAAGTAACGCCGAGCTAAAGGAAAGAAATCCCCTACGCAAATAACTCACAAACCCCGAAACCTCGGTCCAGTCATTCCTGATTATCACGACAGAAGGTTGCGCAGCGACGCGTTGGCGCTGGCCCCGCTTGCAGGGCGACTGTCGTTGGACCTTGGAGGTATATTGTTGCTTAGACTTGGTTCACGACTCATCGAGATCCCATCCCGGGAAATCGGGGGGCTCCCGTGCGGATTTAAAAATGGCGATCGTGACCCAAGCATACCTTGGGAAAACGAATGCTCTGACGTGCGGGGCGGAGGACTGCCATTCGTGAGGCCGTGGAGCGAGTTGTGCGCCGAATGGTAGGATGGCATATAAGGAGAAGTGCCATTCTGAACCGAGCCAGGACCACGTCGAGGCGGGGGTGAAGAGGGAGGGATTCCATTTACCATAGGTTGACCAAGCCCGTGCTGAAGCTGTGGTCCCTGGTGATGGGACATTGGGGCTATCGGCGGCGGCCGGAGGTCACGGAGATGATTATGATGGATCGGGCTTGGTCCAGTAGAGCCGCCGTTCATCTGATGAAGGGTAGGTGGATGTTGGGGCGGGCTACGATGCCACTCTCCATAAGGAGCACTGGGAGGATAATGGTGTGCAGGCACTGGTGGGCCACCCGGAGCTACCATCGGACTCGTTCCAGCGTGGGAAGCGGTCAGCGGCAAAGGTGGAGGGACAGCTGCAGATGGAGGATGTAGCGGTGGCGCAGCGATCGCCGGGGCAACCGTAGGTGCCGTTCCTTGCGCTGTAGGACCTCGTGGTCCCCACGAATTCCCTAGGTCCACGAGCCTATTCATAGCGTGAGATACGTGTGGTGGATGGTTTGTTACAGTAGTGGGAATTGAAGGAGGCAGAGCGACCCGTGGTGCTTCATTTGATGCTGGCCCGTCCGTTCTTGGCGGATTATGAGGTGTAAGTCTTCGATTACTCCTCTTACACTTATGACACTGGACGCTCCGCTGAGCTACAAACCTTAGCGCCTCACTGCTAAGAGAGCCGGTATATCCATTTGTTAAGACCTTTTCTTGGCTCTTGTCGATAGGCCACCACTTTGGGCTCACGTCAATGCCGCAAGTTATGCAGACTTTATCGCCGCACTGAGAGCTGATGGATGCTGCATCGACCACACCATCGACCGGAGACGCTCTCTGACCTGTTGCTGCCGAGCTGGAAACGTTTGTAGTGGATTGCCTCCTATTTGGGTTCGTTTGCGTTGTAACGGTAGGTGTCTTGGTGGCGGCGAGATTAGCTAGGTTCGCCTTGCGGACATTACCTGTTAGGGCAAGGTCTGCCTGCTTGTAGTTATGCACGTAGAGCTGCAGGGCGTTCGCAAGTTGTGTATCCTTGCTTTGGTTCTCAGGCTGAGGCACAGGGTCGTGCATGCGATGAACTACACTCTTTTGAGGAATATGCTCCTTACACCAGACGGCTGCTGACATTATCCCCGTTTCTCCTCCGATAGTGACAAGATTGTGCTGATCTCGTCTGGAGCCTTTCACAGGCGTAATCTCGAAGCCAAGCAGATACCCATTTTGGTGGGCACATTCTACGTGGACTGATAATGTTGTCAGCACTAAACAATTGATCGTCCAAAGAATATTATACTTACCAGGAGCGCGGCATTGATGGCAGGCTATACACGCGCCACCTTTTTGCTTGCACACCTTGCAAACTTCGTCATATCTACTACGTGGTATCAATGGTATGCCTTCTGACGGGCCCAGGGCAAGGGCATTGCCAAACTTGACTTCGGGCATCCACACCGCACAAGTGACATGGACCCAATTGTTGTCTGCTGTCCTCTTTAGAGGCTCCCTAGGGTTCACGGGGCGATTCATCTCCTCCTGCTTTTTGCGATAATACTCTACGGCCTTCTGCGCGAGATCACGGTCAAGGCGTTCCTTCTCCTTCTCCTTCTCGGTCTTTTTCTTATGCGTGTTCTTCGGCGGTTCGATGAAATCGTGTTCTGTGAATTCTACCGGGCACAGGACACACTTATAATCCTAATCGTAACCGTTAACCACAAACCCAAGGAAATAAACGAGGGCACACTTACTATGGAAACCTGGGGATTCTTGTCATTCAGGCACATATCGCAGGTCCACTTGCCCGGAAGTCGATTGTCGATAACGCCATAGCACTTGCGATGAACGGTGAGCCGACACTCCTTGCAAGAGAGATGAGCTTGCTCGCCCGTCGGGGCCATCTGGTGACATATAGCGCAAGGTAGGGTGCGAGGTTTTGGTAGTTCGGGGGCTGGGGGTGGTGGCGCAGGCTTCTCCGCTGCCTTTTCTTTCTTCTTCGAATGGGTATGAGTTGAGACAACTCCGGGATCCGAGCCATTAACCTCTGCCTCTTTGTCCGCAATCGTCTTGAGTTTCTTGCGTGGTGGTGGTTCGCTACCGCTAGGTTGCGGGGCAGGTGTCGCTGTCGCAGCAGGTTGTGCTGTTGATGGCGTCCCATTCGTTTTGTTGTAGACCGTCAGACTCATCATTTCATTTGCCGCCATGATCTCCTTGAGCAATTCCTCATCGACCCTCCGCTTCCAGGAGCGGCCACCAGCTGCAGCAACCTTCTTGGCAAGGTCCTCCATATCTTCCCACTGAATAGCATATCGCCGCCATAGCTCTGCACATCTCCTACATAATGCTCCGACATATTGTATTCCCTTATCCTTGTTCGCATGCTTACCGCCTCCCTCTATTACCAGACCGGACGCACTGTTAGGCGCCCGCCGCCACTGTCGGGAGTTCTTGGTAGAACAAAACTTGCATATGAAGCTCCTCTTCAGCTTGACGGCCTTTTCGGTGTCAAACGCTGAATCATCTTGATCGTCAGCAACGTCATCTTGGAGTTTATTAGCCGTTGCTTCGGCCTTCTTCGCCTCCTTTTTGCCCTTCCTGCCAGAAAAATTGCCCCATATTTGTCTCCCTCTGTCAGTTTTCTTCCACGTGTAGTAGAAACGCACAATTTGCGAGTGCTTGACTGTTTTGATGAGTTTGGTAATGGGATAAAGTTCGGAGCCAAACTTGGTCACGCCTTCTTCGAACTTCTTTAGTTCAGCTGTTGTAAGCTCGGGCTCTTTAAATATCGACTTATCGACTTTCAATAACGCCTTTAACGCCTTGGGTATGTCGTAGTCATTTTTGAATAGGGTATTGATGGCTACATCTTTAAGGTTCGTCGACTCCTTTGGAAGGTTGAACATAGGGACCAGCTTCGACTTTGCGGTCGCCATATAATCGTCAAGCTGAGATTCCGTGGTTGATGTTTCAGCCGCATCCAAAGGCTTCCATAGTAACTGCGCCGTGTTATTCGGGTCATCATTGTCGTAATCTTCCCCCCTCGCCACATATCCTGGGGGTTCGTCCTGAATCCATCTTGGCCGCTTTTCTCGGCGGGCCTTCTCCGCCTCGAGGGCTGCAAGAGCTTCCTTCGATTGCTTGCCGTCTTTCTTACCTGATTTCTTGATCTCGAGAGGTTTCACTAGTTTGACCGGACGGCCGTACCAAGGAAGGACGGTCGCCTGGTGCTTGGGTCCTAAGCGAGATCCGGCTCTGGGATATATGCGGTCATCGTAATCCAGTGCATCTTCAGGTTTGCAATGTTGGCCTAGGTACCGGTAAGGCCATAGGCTCGCGTGATATATCTGCTCTGCTGTTGCGGGTTGGTGAGAGTCATCGATACCATCAGCAGGGCTCGTGCGATTGGTATCGATAGCATCCTCCTCATCCTCCCAAGGCTCTTCTTCCTCTGCCTCTAGATGCGGATCAAGTAGGCTTGGCGTATGTCGAGCCTCGAGCTTTCTCTCCTGGGCACGACTGCATGCGGCGCAAGCCCAAGCAAAGCCACGTGATGGTTTCTTTAGCAGAGGCGGACGAACACAGTTCATATGATACGTCTGCTGACATACTGCACAGTCGACAGAGTCGTTGCTATTTTAATCGAGTTAGCTACTCGTCGATTTATTGGACTCGTTGACTTGTTGCAGTTGCAGTTGCAGTTGCAGGGAAACAGGGGTAGAAACCCAGAAGACCCAGAAGGGAAGGAGAAAGGGGAAGTGTGGAGAGATGACATAAGCAAGCATACATACCTTGCACAATACCCACTACATCTCTTACACAGCTTAACGGCACTAGTAAATTCCTTAGACCGACCCTGCTCCACCAAAATATACTTCCAGCGCTCGTCCAACACCTTCTTGACCCTCTCAGGCACGTTGACGATTTGAAAACACGGAATTACATCGTAATTCTTCTGAATATAACGATCGTACAGCTTCTCATACCAAAAACAGTCGGGAGTTTTTCGGTAAGTCTCCATGTCGTCAATTTCGGCCTTGTGGCGGATTTGACACTTGCCGCGCAATGCGGTTAACGGACTAATGTCCGAGTGCATAGTGGCGAAGACCAGTCTGGTGTCATTGACCTTCTTACCAATGTCCTTTGGCCGGTAGTACCAATTGATCCGCAACGCATCCACGGCCTTTGTAGCATCATTCTGAACATGTAGGAACTCCATGATACGTCCTAAATAATATGGTTCTCCTGGCGGTTCGCATACAAGATATACATGGTCTAAATAATATAGTCAGTCAGTCGGTCAGTAGCTAGTTATTTAGTCACGATGGAAGCGATGGAAGCGCAAATTGTTTTCGGTTTCCGTGGGGTTGAATAAGTTCATACCGTTCGCTTCCAATACTGTTCCGTCATCTGCCACCATCTTTCCGTCCTTTGGGATTGAACCGCATTTCTCGAAACAAAGCATATTCGTAACCTTATATCCCGCAGTATTGTGTATAGTTGTAATAGTTGTAATAGCTGTCGCGTGTGTAGTACCTCGTTTCGTCGTGTTAGGACCAGCCGGTGCCGGGGTACTGCCATTGCTGTGCGCATTGTTTGCGACCGATTGCGCGGGTGCCTTTCGTTTTTTGGACGAAGTAGTAGATGCCGTGGCGGATGAACCATTTGTAGTCGCGTTGCTCGTCGGATGCGAATCCTTCGCTGTATTGTGAAAACCATTACTAGCCTTACCGTCCTCTGGTGCTGCACCCTTGCGTGATGTCGAATTCGCGCCTTTGGGTGCATCGCTGGTACCATTCGCAGCTGCACCGACCTGTCGCGAGGATTTTTTAGATTCCTCATCCTTTTTGTCTGCGTAAGCATCGTACATGTCCACGTCCATATCTTTGTCCTCTGCGTAGTTCGGGCGCGCTTGACCCCGATTGCGGGAACGCGTGCCGTAAGGAGATGGGCCTGTCATAGCCTCCTTGCCTGACGGGTTTGACCCCGACGAGGTTGACTTCGTCATTGGTTGGGATACTGCTGCATTCTCCCCAGAGGCCTTGTTGTTGGTGGACTTTGGGGTTTGTGCTGGTGTGGGTGTGTTGTTGTGCGCGGACCCGGAGTCTGTCAGGTCCTTAGTTGAAGATGACGAAGGATTGGGCTGGTCATCGGTTTCGCTGGACTTCTGCGCCATGGTGGGTGATTAAAAGGCGGCGCATACAATGTCACACGGAGGAACGCCGAAAAGTTTACGGCGGTGCTAGTCGAGGCAGACAGTGGAAATCTGAGTCCATAAGATTGGCAATATAGGTGCAACTCTCGCAGACAGAATGTTTCAGACAGGAACTATGCTGGAGGGCGAAGATTCCATATGAGCGTTTCGCCGGTGGTACCACGGCAGGCTGGAAGACAAGGGTCCGTGGGAAGCTTACCGAATTATGTCCCACGATAGTCCTGGCTCGAGGTCTGTCAGAAAGGGAAGGGCAGGGACGAAAAAGGATGTATAGCTAAGTTGGCGAGACGAAGGCAATAAAGTTTGGGAGGGAAGATAATGAAAGAAAAGGTCAAAACGCGAAATATCTAACCGAGTACGGAAAAATGGATGGTGAGGTTTGGGAAGAAAGAAGGTGGGAGACGTGACTGGTGTGGGACGGGAAAGATGTGAAGGGTATGTAGAAGTGAAGGTTTATGTAAAGCAGGCCAAGATGGACCGGGGAGGTTTGAGGCGGCGGGACAGACCATCAAATCGGTGCCCACTATCCACACGACTAGCCGGGTAGACCGCAGGCCATAGGATCATAGGATGGGTAAGGTAGACGAGCTATGTTATGTATGGGTGGATGGGGGATGGGAATGTATGAGTAGGTAGACCGGCGACTTACCAGATAGGTATGTAGTTTCTGGTACGCTTCTGGTACATACGTATGTAGATATTGCAAGGTAGGGTTGCCAAGAGCATACGATGATCGACCTATGATATCGAGACTATCGATACCGAATTGTGCTCTCGTGTAGGTAGGACGAGGGCCTACTAAGGAGAATTTAGAAGGGAGCTTGAGAAAACTTATTGATGACACGGATGCTCTAACTAATAAGATGAGGCAGATTGGGAATCTAAACTTCGGGATCTTGGAGATTGGTGGATTTGCTGGGGTATGAAAGGCGCGGTAAGGAAAAAAAAAAAAGGTAGCCAAGGCAAAAAGGTAGGTAGGTAGGTACATAACCTACTACTGTATGGAATGAGAAGAAAAAAAGAGAAGGGTGACTTTTTTGACGAACGTTGGACTAGCCAGCTACCTACCTCATGTACCATAATATGTACGTACATACGTGGTGCTGTGCTGCTAGGGTACCCTAAATAAAGCTAGGTGAGTAGGAGAGGTTCCCAAGGGCTGAGATGTTGACCGGATGGATAGGTTGGGTAGATTGGATAGATGCCTGCGTGCAGTGCTGTATGCATCACAATAAGGCAAAAAAGTCAAGAGATGCAAATGCATGGAAATGCAACATCTACTAGTCTAGCTACATGTAGCCTACATGTACAATGTAGGTAATGAGGTAGGTATGTATGTATGTAGGTAGGTAGGTAAGGTAAGAGGTATCTATGTACTTTTTAAATCATCCAGTGTACAGATGGTACAGATGCATCAATACTAAGGTATGTAGGTAATGGATGGATGGATGGATGTAAAAAAGGATGTAGGAAAAGGAAATAGGAAATCCGTATGCTACATGTATACCTACCTATAGATTAGGTTAGGTCAAGGTATGGTTAACGGCAATAGGTAGGTTTTCATTGCTGGTTGTACATAGTACAATGGATAGTACAATAGCGCCCGTACCATGTATTTATTTACCATCTAAATAGGTAACCTACCTAGGTTTTAATAGAGCAATGGGAAATGGTCAGTTAAGAGACGCACAAAGGCACGGGGAATATTTGACGGGGGAGGAGTTGGGATCTCCAGCCATTCAAACTCTGATATTGTACCAGCTAGGCTTATTGGCAGACGGTAGCGCCGCGGTACCGGTACCTGGAAAGGGCTAGGTAAATAAGGGTAAAATATTGGGCGTGTGTTGTACATACACTTCCCCGACAAGGCCAGTGACAAGGCCAGTGTGTGTGGATGTCTGTGGAGTGGTACTGAGGTTAAAAAGTCTCGCCTTGGAAGCCCACGGCCCACATCCATTACCTCCACCCCTGTCAAGTCCAACCAAACTTACGCTTCCTGCTAAAGGCTGCATGCTCTATTCGACTTCATCTCATCCATCATTCTCGCATCTGAAATTATATGCTGTGTCTGCATGCTTTTCCTTCTCGACAAAGACGCCTATGTGTAGGGCGTATCGATATGGTATTGTTCCCGACTAGATTATATTCCCCCCTTCCCCTCTTGGTTAGATATGTCATTCATTGAGATGAATCCATGGTGTCTTTTTGTTGAAAACAGTTGCATCCCCGTTTCATTTTGCCTAGCTTGCTTGCTAATATTTCGTGATGCGTTTGTACTGCTTTAACGCCCTCGCTTGAGAGCAGCCCTGTTTAACTAAGGAGTAAATTCTCTTTATACCAACACTGATACCAACACTAATCGTCGCCGCCTCTTTGCAGTTGTTTCTCTTTTGGAGATGTTACCGCGTGTCCCGAACCGTCGAGCTCACCTCATCGGGGCGACGCGCAGCTGTATGACAGGCAGCATTCCTATCACCTGTCGCACTTTTATAGGGTGGGGATCTAGCCAAGATTGGCCGCGAGTCAAGACCGCCCGTTTCCCGAGATTTTTAAACCAAAGCATGTCCGTTGTCTATCTTCTACATATACTTTCTACGCCAAGATATCATAGAAACAACCAAATAAGGCGCACTTCATTGCTTACCCGTACTGTCTTATTGAACTCGCTGCGATTAATCACAAAAAAACGCTTCTCGTCGTCCTATAAACAGTTCGGCCTTAGGCTTTGAGGCGAGGCAAGGCAAAAGCGAGGCAGTCAGTCTGGAGAGCCTGGGCACCGCTAGCAACCGGGACAAAAACGACAGGTATCGAGCAAAAAAACCCCCACCTCGCGATCTAATGGTCCAACCAGATCACATGAGACAGGGATCCCACCCGTCACCGCTGTGCAATAGTAGAGACATACCCAAGACAACCTAGCTCACAAATCTGTAAAAAGTACGGCAAGGTGAATTGTCCCTAGTTGAAATGTTCGCTTTGCTATGAGGGTCAGAAGTTTGCTTCGCCGAATAGATAGGTGTATCGACCGCTACGTAAGCGTGTTACCTGTCAATTCGTGCGCCGTATAAAAAATTACACCGTACCCCAAAATCCAACATAGCCGGATCTGAAGGGTCCTGTTTAATGTATATTGGATGCGGGCAATTTCTACGTAATCCAGGGTTTTAAGGGTTAGGACTGGTTCTGATGCGCGGAGGAATGTTTTGACCTCCTTGCCCCTTAAGAGCACACCAGCCGAAATGATCTAGGTTAGCATCTTCATGACGAGTAAGTAAGTGCCTCTAGATTCTGGGGCGATTCTTCAAAACAAAAAAGACATCTCCGCTTTTCGCAATGAGATCTGGCGGTATAAAAGTATCTGCTAGTCAGCAGCTCGGCTTGAACCGTGAAAACGGGCGTTCCCTAAGGTTTGGACGTAAAAGCCTGCTACCTAAACTGACTATCTACTGATACAAAAGACAGGGTCTCATCGATATTGGTCCGTAGCCTGCAATGACAACGAAATTATAGGTAAATAGGTACCTAATAATACTCTATTAGTCACTAACAACAAATGTAGCTTGTTTCATTGCAGCATCATTACTTCGCAATATATACCGTTCTTTATTATACGTGCTCATTCGATACTCGTGAACCGGGGACTGGGGAGAGTTGGAACTTGACGGGCAAAAGCGACTAAAGGGGAGTAAAAATATGGTAGGATATTAGCCCAGATATGTCACGTATGTGGAACACTGCTTTTTGCCACCTACGCAGATAAAACCGGAAGTGAACCCACTTGAGACCAACGTAACGACAGCCATGTATCGGAGAGTAATCTGTAGGATGAGAACATTGTTGTAATCGAAAGCTGAATAGGAAACGGTCTGAAGGTAAAATGACAAATACAATCCTACAACATAGTAGGTAGTATATAAGCAAAATTACCAATCCCCATCCATTGCATAGATATGTATAGTCATCTAACCTAGGTAGTTAACCTAGGCAATTAGCTGGGCAGTCTGACCTACGATGCCGATGCCGAGATGTCGGGAGAACCAGCCTTTCCCTGTGCGGGAAACAAGTCCTAGGCGTCCTAAGCGTCCTAGGCTACCTAACCTCCCTACCAACTCGTTACATTGGTACCTACCCTATGAGGTACATGTAATTAAGTTGGAAGCTTGACGTTGGAGGTGACTCCGACCGCACGATGTTCGTAAATCGGCACGGGCCACCTAAGAGCCCAATCTGAGATCCATCCGTTGAAACCATCGTCCAATGAAAGACATCAGGATTAGATTAATGCATGAATTCCTTTTAGGAACGACGGCGGCAATGATTACGCGATGCCGTACCTGATTATGTCAATAGAGTGGGTCTTCGGAGGCCAGGCGCCAATTCCCGATGCCTTGGTGAGGGTCTGCGTAGGCTGTTCTTGATTGCTCTCCACTCCACTTGGCATATGCAAGGGGATTGAAGAAAAGAGCACCCTGCTGCCACGTGACATGGCGTTGCTTTCGTGTACAACACCATTTAAATGGCCCCGATTAAATAAATCCCAACTAACATATGTAGGTACCTAAGGTACCTTAGGTACATAGGTATCATGACTGCATAGACGGCTTATCTCCATTTTTTGTACACTTGTCAACCTGCTTTTCTGCCTTGCATAGCATGAATTGGAACTAGGCTGTTTGCTATGTGCTTGGACTAAGCAAAGGGTTACTTGTCAACCAACAGCCCTGATGCATATCACAGTTGACGGTGAAAGCCAAACCATCACAAAACTGCAGGTTTCTTTGCTCAGCTTTGTTTGCTCAGCTTGGGTAGTTAGTAGATGATCATGGAGCCACCGAGAGGTATTTTGCATAAAACGACACTTGAGTCAACCACTTTGCAGCAGAAGACATTTCATACAACTACTCTTTCAGGCAACAAGAGATATCATGCCGATATCGCTAGTTCTGAACAGCAGTCCCCACCGAAAAGAGCAATTCAGTTCCAGAGAGCATCAGCTGTTGACAAAGAGCTACCTGAATTAGCTGCCAGTATCATCACAGACGCTGACCCCGATGCTACTGCATACCCTTCTGAGTATTCGCAACGCCGGGCAGTACAGGCTACTCCTACGTCAGTAGTCGATCGCTCCCTTTTGCTATCTTTTCCACGGTATGGCTTGCCTGCTTCGTTGGTGAACAACTTCAAAGAGCTTGGTATCAATGAGATATATACCTGGCAAAAGCAATGTCTTCTAGGCCCAGGCCTCCTAGATGGGTCAAAGAACCTCGTCTATACGGCCCCGACAGGGGGTGGTAAGTCTCTAGTTGCTGACATTCTAATGCTAAAGAGGGTCCTCGAAGATAGCGATTCGAAAGCTTTGCTGGTGCTTCCGTATGTTGCATTAGTCCAAGAAAAGGTCCGGTGGCTACGGAACGTTGTCCAAGGTATCAAGCGCCAAACCTACAAGGAGGATTCGTCAGAAAAGGAGCAGAGTTCCCTTTGGCAGAGACGCTTTGATGAAGGTACTATCAGAGTTGTTGGCTTCTTCGGTGGCGGAAAAGTCAGGGCGACATGGTCAGACTTTGATATTGGGGTCTGCACTTTCGAGAAGGTCCGTTGTCTACGGCATTCATGTGACATAGATCTGATAGAAATACAGGCAAACTCTCTTCTAAATACTGCTATTGACGATTGTTCTATTACCAAGCTTCGAGCCGTAGTCCTGGATGAGCTTCATATGCTAGACGATGATCACCGTGGTTATCTTATGGAACTCATCGCTACGAAACTTTTAAGCCTCGAGCACGAAGTCCAAATTATTGGTATGAGCGCAACGCTGCAAAATATTGACTTATTATCACGTTGGCTAGATGCCCACATATATAGCACATTCTACCGGCCAGTACCGATCGAAGAGCATCTCGTCCACGAAGGCAAAATTTATCCAGCTTCATCAACTGGCGGCCTCCTTAAGGCTGCTAAGGCTGCCAGCCAACCCAGCTCAACTTCCAACGCGAGCCAGCACCAGGCTCATCCTGTGAGAATCATCCAACCTAGCTCGCACAAGGAATTTAAGGATACGGTATTAAATTCTGTTGTCGCACTGGCAGTCGAGACAGCGAGGTCTGGCTATGGCGCACTCGTGTTTTGTAATAGTCGTTGGTCAGTACTAAACACCCTCTATTATAGAGCTATACTTTTGTTTTTCTCATCATTCAATCATTTATTGCGATTTCTTAGAATTATCGTCTGGTATAAATGCTAATATACTCACAGTATGTAACAAACCTCCTATTTTTACAGTGTCTTTCTTGTTCCTTCGAAGGAGTCGCTTAAATAGGGGTTCTAAGCTACCTATGTATGCTAACATGTGGAAGATGGTTGTGAATCGGACGCACGGCTTATTAGCCGCACTCTACGTGATACTAGCTACCTAAACCCAACTATCGTTGAAG